AGGGGCCGTATCCCGCGCTGATGACGGCACCCCGCCATCGGGGCGTTCGCCATTGAAATGGCCTGTCGGGCACTTCGAGACGGCCACGGTGATATCGTCGTTGGGCTTAATGGACGGTGGTTGTGGGTGTAGGAGTGCGGCAGACGCGGCGGTTGGTGAGGAAATAGAATCCAGCGGGAGGGCCATTTTTGAAGCCTGGGCTTCTCTATTCGATAGGGGTGGGTTCCCCAGCACATTCGTCGTGGCATCTCCCTTCGGTAGGATGGGCGACTGTTTTGGGGGGGATTCGTGGGAGCGATTTATCGGGTTCAACACGGAAAGTACCGTGGCCGCTAATGCAAAGTTTGTGTAGTGAACGGCTGCGGGGGGGCTCGGCGTGGTCCTCCGCAGATGGGCACCATGCGGCGCCGCTTCGGGTGCGGAAATTTTCCACTTATCAAAAAAACACTCATCGCTACGTGTCTCTCCGCTTGGCTGAGATCTTTCATATAGGCTGCTCTTCACGTGTTGCTCTCCCAGGGCATCATTTTCAACCCCTTGAGTCATGGGCGAGTTTTTCAGAGTGATCTTTGTCTGCATATCCTTCACAAAGGGAGCGGGATCGCTGTTCGAAGTCGCGCTACAATCCGTTATGCCAGGCAGGCTGGACTCCTCTGTAGGGAGATGCTGCCTCGATCCCAATCCTAATGCCTCGACGAGGTTCCCGTTGAATACGCATCCACGCGGCAAAATACCCCCACAACTCGTTGCCAGTTTTGGCCAGTACGGCCTTTGCATTCCCTCCTCATATCCTCCTCCTCCGTTCAGGACGCCGCTGGTGGGGGCTTCTGACCTCAGTGGAGGGGGCTTTTCCCTACAATGGAAGGTTGAAATCTTGGGTGCATAGCTAAGGGACATCGTGGGGTTGGGCACTTTGGGGAAAAGAACCTCATGGGTTGTGAATATAGCGGCCCTTGGATCTGAAAATGTATGGTGGTGTGTCTTTCTTGCTTCTTCCGAAGGCTTATAGTACTGCTCCGCACCGCCAGGAAATGGTATTTCGACTATTGGTATCAAATCATTATTAACCCCCTGGATGTTTTTTTCCTTGCTGCCTTTAGGGTGCATGATCAACTCTTGTGTCGCGATAAATACCGCTGGAGCCGTAGGCATATCGATGCTCCTTTTACCAGCGCCAGACACCCTATTTGTGTTGGTTGAAGAATTTGAAGAAGTAAGCGGAATGGCATTAACTCTTTGGTGCGGCACTGTCACCATGGTGTATTTGGAAGGGTTGAAATAGCAGAGAGAGGGGGCGTCATTGGTCAATCGTAGGGGTACTGGACTAATTTCCTTCGCTTCGGTTGTTTCGCTCCCTATCGCGACTTCGCGTTCGTTTGTTGGGTGTAGATCACGAACTGACGCGCAGGACGTCGGGGGTTCCATCTTTATCACAGACGCCGAGAGCATAGTCTTTCTCGAGCTCAACAAATGCTCGGTGGAGCTCATGGAATACGACAACGTCGACGAAGACGGCTTCAGCGAGGCCAACTGGCACTGCATTGGCGGCGGCAACGCGGCCAGGCCGGGTCCCGCTTCGTATCTCATGAACATACTGAGTATCTTCACAATATTAGGGTGCCCCTGAACGGAGTTATGTAGCTCAAACTCTTTCATCGCCCGCCGTAGGGCCTTATTATCCCCACACGGGATATACTTCATCGCAAATGGGAGCCCATCAGACCTTCGCTTGACAAAATACACCGACGAGAAGGAGCCCCGACCAATGCGATATATGGGCTGATAACCGGAGTTCTCCGTGATATTGAGGATCGCTTGGTCGTCTGGATCGCTAGTATTTAGCCAACTGAGTTCTTCTGCACGCCCTGCTTTATCCTTATCGCCTTTGTCCGCACTGAGGCTTTGATTTGTTTGACGGACACCGCCTCCCTTTTCGATTTCACGAGAGGGGAAGGGTTCGAGAAGTGGCTTTGCGGCGCACCGTCCACCTCCTTCTTCCTTATTTTCAGTGAGAGAAAAATCGTAAAAACAATACGTACTCGCCGCTGCTTTTACCTCTAGTATTTCATGATTCTTCCTTATCCTATTAACTGCCTTACCATCTATTTTTTCTTTCAAAAGATATTCCTCCTCGTGAGTGTCATCGCGTTTGCCAATTTCCTCACTTCCTTTTCCGAAAAGAGGCGTACTAGTTGTTGCCCCATGCAATAGTGAACCCTCTACACGACGCTCATTCACCTCCCTTTTACACCGAAGAATACACCGACGAAGTTCAGAACAGAGGAAATTAAATTTAGAAGATTTAATTTCCTTCTCTGCAGTAGAAACCCCCTGCCTCGTGCAGCGCCACCACAATAAAGATAACCATATAAAGAGGATTATTAAAAAAACACCGAGAAACGAAAGGGAAGCCAAAAGAACAAAGACAAATTTTAGGACCTGAAAGAGCGCCCCTTCAAGACGAAGGGCTGGGATCAAGCACGCGTCAGCCCCTTCATAGTTTATTCTAGAATGAGCTGCATCATATTTACCCATGATATTCCCTTTACGTATGGTATTTATGTTTTATCAAATGCTAATAACGGATAACCTCCGCAAAAACAGCAACCTGAGTTGCCTGCATGAATAAAGAAGAGGAACAACAGAGAAGCATGAAAGAAATAGATTGAAATTAGTACCAGACATAGTGATACATAAACGGAATTCGCATATTGGATTAACGAAGGTTACTTTTTTTTTTAGGAGTGTTTTATCGCCTCTACGTACCCTATTAGGATCAACAGAAGAGAGGAAAGATTGGAAAAGTTTTTTGGAGGATGTGGGGGGGGGGGAGGGAGGGGAGGGAGGAATGGGTGGGAAAAATAAGAGAAGGAGGGATGACTCGTTATATCAATTGCTCTTCAGTTATTCGACACATCGAAAAGTGTATATTACATCGCCTATTTTCCACTTTTTGACGATTTTTCCTTGCCCTATTATTTATTATTTATCGTCTTTCAGTTTCATAAGATCAGTGTTTTATAGCATGCGAGTTAATCCCTCCCATCCAATATCTACCGAACAAGTTACAGATATACCTAAATAACTTTCTCCTATTTGTACTCGCTCTGTAGAATATTAGCTTCCTTCCAAACTTCGAAAATATTATGATCCCACAAAAATGTCCCTAGAAGAGCAGAACCTCTAAATTATTCAGGGAATAATAAAGCTAGAGGAATTCAAAGGAAGGAAATGACTAGGGCAAGACGATAAACCTTAAATGTGTGTTGATATTTTTCAGGCTTCCACCCATTCTTTCCTTTTTTTTTAAATTCCTTCTACTTCTCAAAGAGCGTCCCGAGGTTGTTATCGGTGTGAATCTTCTCAATCGCCCGTGCGAGGAGCGGGGCGATCGGGAGCACGCGAAACTTCTCGGCGAGGAGGGGATCGCGCAGCACATCATCCTGCGGAATGGTATCGGTCACGATAATCTTCTCGATCGGCGCGGCGAGGAGGCGCTCGCGGTACCCCCCGGCGAGGACGGCGTGGGTCGCGACGATGACGATGCGCTGCGCGCCGTTCTCGTGTAGGCATCGCGCGAGGTTCGCCGTCTCGACGGCCTCGTTCAAGACCGTCGTGAGGACAATGCAAAAGCGGCCGCGGACATCCCCGACAAGGCGAAGCCCCTCTCGCCCGGGGTTCTCCGTTTCCGTCAAGATCACCGCGCGGCGTCCGCGGGCCTGGCGGCGGAGGGCCGCGGCGATCCCCCGGGTGGAAGGGGCCTCGTCGGGGTCGTCTTTGGGCCCCCCGCGAGGCGGCTCGACGGCGGTCTCCTTCTTCGCCATCCAGCGGACGGCCGTGCAGACGGGGACGAGGGCGGCCTCGCCGTCGAGCCCCGCGGCCGCCATGAGGTCGTCCGCGAAGTCCTTCGCGCGGCCGACGTGATGGCCGTCCGCGGCGACGACGGTGAGATTGGTGAAGTCGTGCCCCTCCTCGCGGAGCTCGTCGACGAGGTAGCGCACGAATTCGGACCTGGGCGAGAGGTTCTCGAGCGGGATGGAGAACATCCCTTCGACCTGGGCGTTCATCAGGTCCACCGTGACGACGTGATGGCAGCCCGCGACCTCGATGAGCTCCGCCAGCGCCGCGATCGAGGCCACGTTCCGCGTGTAGGCCAAGTAGGGCAGGACGGCCGTGACGTGGGCCGCCGCGGCGAGCCGGACGGCGTGCAGCAGCAGCAGCAGCTCCATCACCGCGTCGGCGTGGCAGCGCCCCTCCGCCTCCTCGCTCGCGAGGGACTGCAGGACGAAGACGTCATCCCCGCGCAGGGGCCCGGGGAGCTGGACTTGGATCTCCCCGTTATCGCACCACTGAGAACTTCCCCCTCCCCCCCCTCTTTTTTCCGGGCCGTCCCGCTCCCCGCAGCGCAGGAGCTCCGCCAGCATCTTCCCCGTGAGCCGGCTGCGGGTCCCGGCGAGGGTGCGGAGGGCGAAGCCGCCGGCCGGCGCGAGCGGCGAGATCGCGGCCGCGAAGACCGCCCGGCCGCTGGGGAGGATCCGCGGCCGCACGACCCCCGAGCGCCGCACGAACTGCCCCAGTCCCCGCACCGCCGCCTCGTGGTCGACCCGGTGGACGGTCCCGTAGACCCCGATCAGCTCCAGCGCGATCCCGCGAAGGTCCAGCGTGGGGAGGCTGACGTTGCTCCGGCTGATCACGGCGTCGACGTCGCGCACGCGGCGCTGCAGCCCGAGCCGATCGCAGGCCACCCGGTGAAGGAACTTCTGCAGGATCTTGCGGAAGGCCAGCAGGTTGACCTCCCGGTAGCGCCGCACGCACTCCAGCTGAAGGTAGATCCGCGGGATGAAGTCCGGCGGCAGTGCCTCCCGCAGCTTCACCTCGGTGAGCTTGTGCAGCTCCACCATCTGCAGCATAATCTTCGTCTCCAGGCCGACCACGAAGGACTTCACCTTGCGGTAGGACTCCTCGAGGGCGAGGAAGAAGCGCTCCTGGACTTTCTCGCGCCGCGCGCGGAGGCTGGCGAGGGCGGGGTCGTGCAGGAAACGCTCCTGCATCGCGCGCACAGCCACCAGCGAGGGCGCGGGGGGGGTGGGGGGGAAGGAAAAAAGCGACCCCTCCCGCGCCGTGGCGACCTCCGCGGGGGAGGGCCAGGGGATGTGGACCTCCGTGTAGCCTTCCGCCGTGGGGGAATGGCAGACGCTGCAGCAGGAGATCCGCCCGGGGCTCTCGATGTTTTTTGAGGCGTCTTCAATGCATTTTTTCTGATAGCTCTCGCACTCCAGACGGAGATACTCGGCCTCCTTCACGAGCTTCTTTAGATCATAGTAGAGAACGTAGTTGTCGAGGGTGTACTCCGCGATGTACTCGCTGAGCAGCCGCCGACGAAAGGGCTGACCTTCGGAGATGGGTTTACCTGTTTTAAGCATTTTGATAACTTTTAAAATTATTCACTTAAACCGAGAAAAGTCACGACCGAAAAAAAAGGTAAATATTGTTTTTATATTGGAAATTTAACTTTTTAAGTGAAAAGTTGTAGAGAAAAAAAACCTAAATCCTAATAAAAAAGGGGTATCACAACGGGATGTGGAGCTAAGTTTCTTTCTTGAAAGATAGAAAAGTAAGATATTAAAATAATAATTCATAATAAAGTAGTGTAGCAAGCTATTTTCTCACAATTGCAGGTGACAAGGGATCTTTTCCAGAAAACAAGAACTACTCGGTTGTTTTACTTTGTTTTCGAAGTGATCTCATTTCTGGGATTACAAGTCAGGTATGCCAGGTACCTTTGTTCCACCATCGTATAATTTGGAAAGCAGAACATAAAACCAAAGTAAGAAAAAAGGAAAGGTTATAAAACGGTGAAAACGTAAAAAACATTATGTTATGAAGAAATATCAGATAAGAGCAGGGAACAAGGAATAGGGCAAAAAAAAGAAATGGTGTTGGTGTACACTAAAAAAAGAAAAAGGAGCAGATTCACTTTAAATTTTAATTTTATACGCACACACAATGTGGAAAGCGTAGAAAAAAAAGAAGCAACCAAATGTATCGGAAACCATAAAAGGAATTCACAAGTAATGCATAATGCATACTGGACGTTGTTCATATCTGCTTTCATCATATAACGGCATGGCTTCAAATGACTTAACAAGGGGATTGAAGTTCCTACACCGTTCTTTTAGAAAAATCGATTCGGCGTATGTCAATTGGATAGGATTAGGAATTTTTGGCAAAGCAAGGAAATCCTTCATGAATCCTACCGCTGGGTTTTTTCCGTATGGAAGCCCCATGAAAACACGACGACACCACGCCGCAGAGGAAGGGTTCCGCTTACCAATCCAATCCTCTCCTTCCTCTTTTTCCTTTTTCACCCTTTCCTCCTTTTTCATTGGATTGGAAGAATTTTCTTCATGGTAGAGGCATTGCGCCCACAAACGGATGAAAATATCGCCATCGTGGTGGGTTGTGCTTAGTGTAGAGAGAGGTGGTTTAAAGGCAGGGGCTTCACTAGTTTCCCCAGCTTTTGAAGTATTCTCCCTTTCTCCTTTCTTTGTTCGCGCGGACGACAGAATTTTTCCACCCGCGTTGTTATTGGGATTAGTCCCCGGTATTTTTTCGGCCAATTGAGGCGCCTTCATCGCCTGCATCTCTTCGGTTAAAGCCGTCCGTGCGTAGCGGTAGGCGAGGGCGAGGAGCTGGCTCTGGAGAATCTGCACTTCGGTGAAATGAATTGTGGAGGAATTGGGGGTTGCGCTTCGTCGAGGATTGCGCTTTCGCTTAGAAGTGGATGAGAAATGAAGAAAGGGATCCATCAAAGATAAGGGAGAATGTTGATCGGATATCTTCGTGGAGGAAGTTGGCGGCGGCGTTGGGTTCTCTTTTGGCGGGGAGGACGTGTGCGGTTGAGTTTCAAGATCCCCCACTACTTTGATCGTCGCGATGTGAGAAGCTGCGGATGAAGTTTCTGATGAATGCACCTCCCCCTGCACGGTTGAGGTCTTTCGACGGGATGTTTTATCGCGAGCACTCTTTGGACAAACCATATTTGCCTTTTGTCTTGTCAAAGTAATAATAAATTCAACCAGTAATCTATATGGAGGAAAATTTAAGAGCATTAGAAGGGTAAAAAACATTAAAGCTCGATTCAGATTAACATATATATATATATATATACATATGTATATTGTTGACATTAATAATGTAATACAAGGAAATTACTTCTCTCGAGAGGCTCAGTAGAACACCATAAGGTGGAGAGTAAATTTGAAAATCTGATTTTGGTAGAAATTTCTTTTGAAAGATTGTTTTCTCCTCTCGACCTCCAGCTCC